ACCTCAGCAATAGAGTGCCTCTGCACTTTTTCCAGAAAGTAAACCCACCCTCAAAGGATGAACAATTTGCCACTCTTGAGATGGTGCCATGGGCTTGGATGGCTCTGAGCCACGATGGAGTGTGTGTCCCAGGATGACTACTTTGAAGTAGTCTTGTCCCTCCTAGTAGATAGTTGGATAGAGGCTATTCTTTCCAGTGTCACTCCAGCCCCTTCCTGTAAAAACAAAGTTTTCAGTTGTAACCATACAGAATGATTTTCACATGGCATTGTCTAGGGTGTCATCAACAAACATACTGTCAAGAAAAACTCCTAAGAGGGGAATCAGAGAAATAGAGATCAAAGTAGATCAAATGCTGCTCTATTTATAGTAATAAAAATAACAGTCGACAACAGCCTGTCTTAGACATGAGACAATAAATACTCGGTAGTTCTATAGTAGCCACTTTCTACTGCCATGCTCATGGCAGACATTACTAATCAATCATGGCTTTTCCGGTTGAACAGTCTTACTGTTCTTGACAACGGGCTTCAGGCAGTCACTACCAATTGTTCCAAGTTGTCTGCAAGATAAAATCTGTTTGCCATCCCTGGGTATGTGTATTTCCCAAAACATTAGGTTTTATATATGGGCGAACCACATGGCTCAGACAGAGCTGTGCTAAGGCCAGGAGTGGTCCCTTTGACATCTTTAGGTTCTCGCAGCTGACCCTTCTCAGAATGCATCCTCAGGTCCATCTAGAATTCACCTCAAGGCAAACGTGGGTTGGGGGTGAAAAAAGAGAAAGGGGCAGATGGTGAGCAGAAGAGTGGGTTTGGCTGAGATGTGGAGGGAAGGAGAGAATGGGAGAGAGCTTCTTGGGGGTGTCTCAGCAGGTATGATCCCTAAGGAGTGGGAGAGCCCTCACTGTGCACTCCTGCAGCCAAGCCCACCTACCAGTGGGGGGTGGCCGCTGGCGGTATGGCTGGTCACTGTGAACGCTGAGCAGAGCCCTGTCCCATCCCCCAGGCACCACCACGCAGCCTCCCGTTTTGTATATTTCAGGCAGCCCCTCTGGCCTCTGTTTACAGACTCTTTTTTCCTTTTTCTTCTCCTCTTCATGCTGCCTCACCTCCTGTGCTATTCCCAAGTCTCCCAAGGTGAGTCTGTTGATGGGTGCCCGGCCTGGAGCCTGGGCCGCCTGGGGCCCTTCCCACACTGCCCCACCCACTCCTCCCAGTTGGTCAACGGGCTTCTATTTTTGGCTTTTTATTTTGGAAAATGTTTAAACGTAAGCAAAAGTAAATGGCCTAGAATAATGAGTCCCTAAAGGCCCAACTTCAACCATTATCAATTCACGGCCTCTCTTGTTCCCCTATGACTCCCTATGTCTTCCCCTCCCCCCAGCACTGGATTATTAGCACCCAAAATTGATGAATAATCTGATAAGAGAAAAAAACCCAGTTAAGTCCACCGAAGCTCCTCTGCTGGCTAAATTATCAGCTAACGGGGATAACCATTCAGAAAATTCCAGGCTCATAATTTCGTCCTTAAATATTTTAGTAGCTATTGTTTTTAAAAAAACATAACCATGATACACTTTCACACCCACATAAATTAGCAATAATTCCCTAATATCAGTAATGGTTCATTTCCCCCAATGGTCTCATAATTACCGCCAATGTTTTAAAGGCTCGAAGCCCCCAGTCACATTTGTCTGTGTCACAGACGTCCAGCTGGTTGAACTCTCTTCTGTATGTTTCTTCCTCTTGTCTTCCTTCCTTCCTCCTTTCTGGCCCATGATGGGTACCATAATGGGTACCATGATGGGTACCAGATGACCATCACTCAGGGAAGCCCGCCTGGCACCTTCTCCCAAAGCTTTGCATTTGGAAATCACTCCAGGCCAGCCTGGTGGGGCCACTTGTGTGCAGTGGCTTCAGACGTGTGACTTCAAAAGCACATTGATAACCTCCCAACCCCCAAGGCAGATACCCTCCTCTCAGATATCCCCACTAAACCTAAAGTTCCTCAATTCTCCGTTCATCCTTTTGCTTCCCATTAAAAAGCCAATGCCCTTGGAAAAGTTGGACCCTGACTGGAGCAGTCATGTACACCTCGGTGTGAATGAGATCTCATGAGCATATTCTTGCCTGGGGGCCCCTGGGGAAATCTTGAAGGATGTGGGTGTCTAACCATTTCTCCTCTGCCTCTTCCTCACAGGCTACAAGGAGCAGGGCATCCCACAGCAGCTGTGAGCCTGCCCTGGGGCAGCCGAGAAGTCCAGGGTGGCCCCGTGAGGGCCGCCTCCAGCAGCGGCAGGCACAAGGACCTCTCCTTCTTCTCTTCTGCTGTTTCCTGGGTTTGGAGTGGAAAGGGGGGGGTTAAAAATATTATTTATTTTAAAAACGCACCTGCTTTTCTCAGCAGCCTCTGAGGGCTGCCAGCCCTCACTGTGGGTACAGGCACCCAGAGCAGCTCCAGGTGGGCGGGGAGCTGGGTGGAGGTGGGAGTGCTGACAGAGAGGCTGGAATGTGTCTTCTCCCCCTCCACCCCCATCCCATGCACGCCTAGCCTTGCATTGCCCACTGCAAGGGCACACCAAAGCTGCCGGACTAGGCAGCAGTGGCCCTGTCCAGGTGAACAGTGGCTCACCAAGGGGCAGGCCTGTGGTGAATACTTACTCTGCCAGAGTGGTCTCCTGGGGGCAGTACCAGGACGAGGGTGAGGATGGACAGACTCCAGTCAGGAGTGGAAAGGCCTACTGCGCCCTCAGCTTTGGGGGGTGAGGGAGGGACACACAAATGCCCTCCTCGCTGTGTCCTGACTCTGCCCTCCCTTACTTATCACAGCCCCCACCTTCTTGCCACTGAAATCTCTGGGCCTGGCTGTGTTTGGACCTTTGTGTGTCTGGGGAGGAGGGCAGTGGCCCCATCCCTGGGGCAAAACTGCTCAAATCACCTGAGGTTCATCCACAGAATTACCAGCCCAGGTCTGAGTGAGACAGGCTGGCAGCCTTTCACATGTCACGACAGTCCTTTTTCTGAAATCCTTGGAGTGGATGGTTTTCTGAATTCAGAAATTTTGGATGTGAAAAAGAGAATCGGCGACGTTTGCCCTACATGTCCTAACACCCTGAGGAGTCTGGGACGGCTCTCCACCACCAAGCAGTGACCGTTTCTACAGAGGAACGTGTGGCTAGTCAGACTAATTGGCATCAATAGAGACAGTAAATAGCCTCACCTGGTTTCAGCTCAGATTTTGCCACTAAATCAATTATGGGAGAAAACGTACCACGTGAGAACTTTTGGGGTTTTAGAATTGCAAAAAAAAAAAATTGTCTGGGGTTCTGGATCTTTGAAATCCTTCTTGCAAACAGATGCATTAGAGTGAGACTGTCGGGGTTACAGAGGGATTCCTCCCCTTGCAAAGAGACTGCCGGGCCCTTTAAGACGCCTCTGTTGATTGTTACAGTCAGATCCCACTGGAGGCAGCTGCCAGCGGAAGTTGTCCAGGCTACTATGGGTCATGTGTCAACCTGAAATGAAGAAAAAGGAGCATCCAAAATGATAGTGACAAGTCAGACATTTACNTGGCTGGACTGCCAGTTCGCTGAGAGAGAATAGCCTTTGCCTGGACACACCCACCATATTGCTGCGCTCCTTACGGCTCCTCAGTAAACCTCAGGCTTGCTGTTCCTCCCCTTGCAGGTCTGGGCAAACCCCATCAGGAAAAGGTTCCAGGAGCTCTGCCCTAGCCTGCTCTCTCTCCACACTATAGGCACCGGGGCCCTCAGCTCCTGTCCTGAGGGATCAGTGTGTGTACTGGCTTTGTGGGGGGATGTCACTTCCGGAATTTACTTCTATGGGTGGCTTCCATGGTACCCCAGTGACGCTGGCTCTTACCCCTGAATCTTTGCCACATAAGGTTGGTGCCCTCTCCCCCTGCCGTCTGTTGTCCTTGAAGGTGGCTGTACTGGTGCCCCTTAATGGCAAGGACCATTTGTCATGGGACGTCTGTGTTCTCCCAAAGGCCCTTTGGCAACCTCTGCCAAGCCTCCTCCAGGTGACACTCTAGTGTGGGGACAAGAGATGGGGTCTGAGCCGGGAGGTGCCGGACACCAACTCCTCCTCTCCAAGCTCCTGGAGGATGGGCAGCTGGGCCCCAGGCCATGATGAGCATGCCTGCTGCTGTCTCCCAGCGCCCTCATACAGTGTCCCCTCTGCCTCTCACAGGGACATTCGTCTCGGCCTTCACTGTGCTGTGTGGAGCCCGCACTGATCTCCCAGACAGGCACGTGTGCTGCGTCTTCTGGCTGAACATCGCGGCGGCCCTGATCCAGGTCCTCACGGCCATTGTCATGGTGGGCTGGATCATGAGCATCTTCTGGGGCATGGACATGGTCATCCTCGCCAGTGAGTACCGCTCACCGTGGGGCTGGGGCTGGGCCGGGATGAGGAGAGCAGGCTGGAGGCGGGGCGGGGGCCAGAACGGCCTGGGAGCTTGTGATCCCGCAGGGCATGGGTGCTTGGCAGGGAGATCAGCTGGGCCTGCTGCTCCCCGAGGGCTCACCCGTGTCCTCCTCTCTAATGTCCGTGGCTGCCTGGACAGGGGACCTTGCCCGCACTCCCAGCTCCGGGGCCTGTAGGAAGTCCTGTGTGCAGATAGGTCGAGACTACGCCAGACAGAATGAACGAGAGAGGGAGGGAGCCCCTATTCAGCTCAGACACAACAGGCATTCCATTTGTCAAGGAGGCAGGGTAGCAAGGGTGTGGCCCGAGGGAGCTTAGGTCCCCTGTGCTTAGCGTTCCCGTCCATCCATCATGCACTTTCCAGAAAGAAGGAAAGGGCCACAGGAATCCCTGTAACTGTGCTTTTTACAGCCAGACCAGCATAATTTCTCTTTCTTTTAAACTAAGCTCTTTGTTCATTGATGCTAAAGCCTTACTTCCTAATTGGTATTGACCTTCATCCATCCTTTAACACAAACTTGATCCAGACACAAAACTGTTCTGTGAAAGGGTTTAGCCTTATGAAATCAAGTTTACCAAAGATGACTTGATTAACGTTTTAAAGATAACCTAGTAAGATCGTAAAACAGACACCATCTAAATATTTTAAGCAGCTGTGCCCGTCGCCCTGTGCCCCATGCCATGTCCCCTGTGTTCTCACATGCTCGGTCTACCTCATTAGGCCACGGTTCCTCACGGACGGGGACCACACCTCCTCAGGCACTTTGTCCTTCTCTCCACGCCCTCACGCTTCTCACTGTGTCCTGCATCCGACAAATCCATTCATAAGTGCGATGGTCAGTGCCAAGGGTAAGCTGCTCCAGATAAGGACCGCAGAGGCAGGAAGGGGAGCTCGGGGTTCAGGGGGCCCTAGAAATATCTAGAATGATCTGTAGCTGAATCAGCCTGAGTTTAGGATCCTGTGAGGATCCAAGACCCAGGGCACACACAGATGCCAGGACCAGGCAAGTCCTTGGGTCAGTGACCCGTCGAGTCACCGGGCCAGAGCCAATGCACGTACCAGAGCCTGAGGGGGATCAGCAGAGCGGGTGAATTGGTCAAACGGGCTGCCTAGAGGCACGTCCTCCAGGGGCCGAGTTTGGGGCGGAAGTGTGTTGGCTGGACTGCCAGAGCATCCCAGAGTTAGAGCAGACCAGGCAGATGCTGGGAGAAGTGGGAGGAGGACACCAGGCCTAGCCAGCAGCCGAGTGGGGCCTGTCAGGGAGGGCAGCGGGAGGTAAGCAGGCAGAGACCTGCCTGTCCAACTCCCTCGTGGGAGCCCCACTCTTGGGCATGTTGAGGGACCACTTCCACTTGTGGGGAGGGGGTGCAGGACAGGAAGGAAGGGCTGCCAGCCTCCTGTGAGCTGGCACTTCCCTAGGAACCTGTGGGGTGGTCTGTAGCTCCTGAGCCTGTCCCCAGGTACAACCCAGAGGTGCACCTGCTCTCAGAAGCTTCCTCACAGTAGTCAGGAGGCCTGTGCTCCATCTCCGCCCAGGATGAGCCCCGAGCACCCTTACTGCTTCATCTCATCACAGCGAATGTCTAGCCAGGCACTTGGGCACTTGAATGAGGAACCTTTCCATTAAGGTGGAACACACCTATGTCACAGGGTGGGTCTCCACAAATGTGTGTTGGTGTCTAATCGGGTCCCTAGAACTTTCTGGTATTCTTGTCTTGGGTCATCCTTAATACCCAGGAATCACAGGGTCTAGATCTGAAAGATAACTTAAAGAACTCACTTGATCATGTCTTGGGTGAGGAAACAGAGGTCCCAAGAGGTATAGATGGGGACCCAGTCAATTCTCACTTTCTGTTACCCGAGGCTGTTGACTCTTCTATGGCTGATGTGGGGGCCATAACTGGACTGTAGAATAATCACATGCCAGGATCCCCCATTCCCACCCTTCCTCCCTGCCTTCCCTCTCTCCCTACCCCCCCCCACCCACCTGCAATACTTCACTGTGGGTCAGAGTCAGCTCCTCTCTACACTGGCTTCAGGGACGCTGTCTTTGTGTCAGACTTTTTAGAGCACTGTTTGGGGGATGGATTTGAGGGCTGCACAAAAAAACCTGTCACACCTCACTGCTAACCACTCACCCCCTCATTCTTCCGCCCCCTCAGCCACAAGACTTGCTTACC